CGCCCCGTCCCGCCCCCGGTGCCGCCGTGACCCCGCGGGCCGATCACTTCCAGGGCGGCCCCGGCTCCCGATTTGAAAATGCGGGAGCGGCTCCTGGTGCTGCTGTGCGCGCTGGCCCGGCGGCGGCGGCGGCGGCGGGGGGCGGCCATGGCCGGCACCGGGAACGGCACCGGGAGCGGCACCGGCACCGGCGGCGGCTGGGACGGGCCGCAGCGGCGGGCCTGGCTCCGGCACTACTACAGCCAGCGGCAGAAACGGCTCATGACGGTGACCGGGCCGCGGCCGGGGATGGGGGAGGACCGGAGGGGACGTGGGGACACGGCCCGCGGGGACACGGGGGCACGGAGGATGGGGGGATGCGGGGGACACGTGGAGATCGTGGGGACACAAAGGGTGGGGGAATACGGGGAGATTGTGGGGACACAAAGGGTGGGAGAATACGGGGAGATTGTGGGGACACAAAGGGTGGGAGAATACGGGGAGATTGTGGGGATTCAGAGGATGGGGGGGTCACGGGGGATGTACGGAGGTCACGAAGACACAAAGGATGAGGGGATATGGGGGACACGCAGTGGTCACAGGGACACAAAGGATGGGGGTGTCATGGGGATGCACTGAGGACATGGGGACACAAAGGATGGGGATATGAGGGACACGGAGTGGTCACGGGGACATGCAGGATGGGGGGATAGAGGGTACACACAGTGGTCACAGGGACACAAAGGATGAGGGGACATGGGGGACAGGCAGTCACAGGGACATGGAGGATGGGAGTGTCAGGGGATGCAGAGGTCACGGGGACACAAAGGGTGTGGGTGTCATGGGGATGCACTGAGGACACGGGGACAAAGAAAAAGGGGATATGGGGACACGCAGAGGTCATAGGGATAAGGGGGATGGGGGGATTTGGGAGACACACAGAGGTCACATAGGAAGGGGGACGTGTGAGACATGGAACACATGGACAGGAGGGATGTGGGGCACAAGGGTACACAGGTCACAGGGACACAGAAAATGGGGAGCAGGGGGTGCAGGACACAAAGTACAGGGGTGGGAAGGATGGGGAGCATGGGGAGGTCACAAGTGAGACATAAAGGGTGGGGGACATATGGGACCCAAACCATGAGATGTGGGACAGAAGGGACACATGGACACATCACAAAGGATGGGGAATGTGGGGGCTCTGTGGGACACAAAGGATGGGGGGACATGAGGGACAGGGGACTTGAAGGACACAGGACATGATCCTGGACACAGAAGATGGGGGATGCAGAGGATATGGGGACATGAAGGAGGGGGTGACATCAAAGGTGGGGGACACAAAGGATGGGGATACAAAAGGCCTGAATATACAAGTGATACAGGGCAGCAAGGACAAGCTTTGGGAGGGGGAACCTGGGGGACTCACTGCCCTTGGCAGTGGCCAAGGAAAGGGAAAAAAACCTCTTTTCAGCTTAAAGTTGGTTTTAGAATTTAATAACAGAAAAACAATTCCTGTGGAGGGACCAGGAGCTCCCCTTTCCAAATCATGACTTCCACTTTTGAGGGGTGCTCGCTCCCCCTTCCAAATCGGGGCTGAGCCCACAGTTCCCTTGGTCGCAGGAAATCCGGGAACAGTAGTTAAAATATAAAGTCCCGGGGGGAGCGGGCACCCCAAAAAGGCACTTTTGCAGAAAGCTCCTTGTCTGCAGTGCTTGGGCATCTTGTCCAGGCTCACAACTACTGCCTGGGGGGGGTTCGCAGTGAGGTTTCTGAGGAAGATTTGACCCAGCGTTTGTCTGGTTGGCACCACGGGCCACCTGGCTCTGGGTCACCCCCTGCCTTGAGCAGGTCTCTTGAACTGGGTGGTCTGCAGAGGGGCATCCTGGTGAGGTGCGGGGTGGGGATGGGGAGGTGCCCTCTCACACCCCTCTTGTCTCCCCCTGCAGCTCCTGATCGCTCACCGGAGGAGAACCAGCTGCTGCTTCTACCCCCGCGCCTGGCCCAGCCTCAGGAGCTCGGACTGGTGGGAGCGGGTGGTCCTGAAGGAGTTTGGGCCCCAGGACTGGCTGGAGAAGTTCCGGATGTCCAAGGAGACCTTCTTCTACGTCTGCAACCAGCTGCGGCCCGGGCTGGCCCCGCACAGCGCCCACTTCCACCCCACCCTGCCCCTGGAGAAGAGGGTGGCCGTGGCCCTGTGGCACCTGGCCACCAACGTGGGGTACCAGACCCTGAGCCCGCTCTTCGGCGTGGGGCCCTCCACGGTGCAGAGCTGCGTGAGGGAGGTGAGCTACGCTGTGGTGCTGCTGCTGAAGCCGCTCTACCTGCGGCTGCCCAGCGAGAAGGAGCTGGAGAACATGGTGCGGATCTTCCGCACGCGCTGGGGCTTCCCCCACTGCATCGGGGCGCTGGACAGCCTGCACATCCCCATCCACCCGCCCCTGCGCCTCGCCAGCGACTACTGCAACGGCCAGGGCTGGCACTCCATCCTCACACAGGCCACCGTGGACGGGCTGGGGCAGTTCTGGGACGTGTCCACCGCCTTCCCGGGCAGCATGGAGAACAGCGCGGTGCTGGAGAGCTCCAGCCTGTGGGTGCTGGCCAAGGAGGGCCGGCTGTGCCCCAACCCTCCCAAGCACTTCATGGGGAAGGCGCAGAAGTACGTGCTGCTGGGCGATGCCACCTACCCCCTGCAGGACTGGATCCTCAAGCCCTACCAGGAGGACGAGAACCTCACCCAGCGCCAGCTGCAGTTCAACTACCGCCTGAGGCGGGCGCACAGCGTCATCGAGAACGCCTTCCTGCGCCTCAAGGCGCGCTGGCAGATCCTCCTCAAGTGTGACGACTGCAGCCTGGAGCTGCTGCCCACCCTGGTCCTGGCCTGCTGCATCCTGCACAACGTCTGCGAGGCCCACGACAACCCCTTCAACGAGGAGTGGCTGGAGGGGGCCGAGCCCACCGAGCTGCCCAAGCCCTGCCAGCCCGCGCCGGCTGCCATGGAGGACAACGGGGCCGAGCAAGTGCGGGAGCTGATGTGCCAGTACTTCGAGAGCTGCGGGGAGGGCTGATGGGGCCACCCAGCACATCCCTGCACATCCCTGCTCCGAGACTCTGGCAAACTTTGGCCCAGCGGTGCCAGGACTGCAGCCCAACCAGCCGCACCATCCGGGCCTGGGGCGGGGAGGGGCGGCCGTGTCGTGCTCGTGCCGGGTTTGCTGTGCAGGTTTCAGGCAGTGGAATGTATTTTGTGCCCTTGCTCTCTCTGCCAGGATCTGAGTGGTGTGGTGTGTGCTGTGGGAGCAAAGTGGGGATCGTGGCTGAGCAGATGGGGCAATGGAGGTCTCCCTCTCCTCTGTCCCGAGGCCCCTTCGTCAGGGCCGAAACCAGCAGGAGCCTTGAAATGAGGCAAAACTCCTGTGAAGGTTCAAAACCTGCTGCGTAAACACACCTGGGAGGGGAAGGGGAGGAAGAGGCACAGCAGTGACTTGCCGAGGGAATGAAACTGCACCCGCAAACTCCTGCAGCAAGTGGGGTGGGCTGCCCAGCCTGGCACCCCCCAGCTCCTCTCAGGGTGGGGTTTGCCCAGCCTGGCACCCCCCAGCCTCTCCCCAGAGGGGTTTGCCCACCCTGGCAGCCCCTGATCCCTCCGTGGAAGGGTTTTTTTCCAGCCTGGCACCCTCCGGCCCCTCTCTGAAGGGATTTACCCACCCTGGTCTGTCTCAGGGTGGGCCTTGCCCAGCCTGGCCCCTCTCTGGAGGACTTTGCCCAGCCTGGCACCCCTGGCACCTCTCCAGAGGGGTTTTCCCAGCCTGGCACCCCCACCCCTCTCTGGAGGGATTTACCCATCCTGCTCCCTCTCTGGGCTTTGCCCAGCCTGGAGCACCCCCGGCCCTTCTCCAGGGGGTCCCTGTCCCCCTGCCCGGCTCTTCCCCCCCCACACACCGCTCCCCCCATCCCAGTTCTCGCCGGGCCGGACCCGCCTCCCGGGAAATGGCGGCGCTGGGGGAGGCAGCGCCCCCTGGTGGCCGAGGAGTCGGCGCCCCCTCCGGAGCCGTGCTGCGCATGCGCCGCTGCGCGGTCACGTGACGGAGCGGCAACATGGCGGCGCGCGGTGAGTGTGGCACCGGCATGGCTGGGACCTCCCGGCCACCCCCGGACCGCCCCGGCACTATCCTGGAACCCCCTCAGTCCCTCCGGTCCTCCCTGGTCACCCGCGGACATCCCCCCCGTCCCTTCGGTCCTCCCTGGTCACCCCCGGACACCCCCCCTGGCACCATTCGGGAACCCCTCCAGTCCTCCCTGGTCACCCCCGGACCCCCTGGCACCATCCAGGAAGTCCCTCTGTTTCTCCCTGACCCTCTGTGTCTCCCCTCGGGCTCCAGTTCCCTCGGGCCCGGCCCGGCGCGATCGCGGCAGGGGGTTCGTGTCCGTCCCGGGTATCTGGGGAACTGGGATCCGAGCACTCGCTGTGGGCTCAGCCCCGGCCCCGAGGTCCCGTTCCCCGGGACCCGGTGGCGGTGAGGGCTCCCCGTGACTCGCTCCCTTCCCTGCGCGCAGGACGGTGACCGAGGAGCCCCCGCAGCGCACTTCGTGTGACCGGACCGTGCCCCCGCCATGGTGACGGAGCAGGAGCTGGAGGCCATCGGCCGCGTGCTGCTGGACGCGGCGCAGCCTCTGCCCGCGCGGTTCCGGGCGCTCTTCACCCTGAGGAACCTGGGTGGCCCTGCAGCCGTGCACTGGATCAGCCGCGCCTTCGGGGATGGCTCGGCGCTGCTGAAGCACGAGCTGGCCTTCTGTCTGGGCCAGATGCAGGACGAGGCCGCCATCCCCGTGCTCATCCAGGTGCTGGAGGACACGGCACAGGAGCCCATGGTCAGGCACGAAGCAGGTCCGGCAGCTCCTGTGGCTCTGGGGCGGGGAAGGGCTGGCAAGTGGGGCTTGGGGGTGCTTCCCCCCCTGTACTGAGCAGCTCATGGGGGCCTGGTCCGGCTTGGCTGTCAGTTCCTGAGTCATGGAATGCCTCACCACATCCTCTGGCCAGGCCTGGCTGGACTGGTTGGCCGAGCCCTCCTGTTCCACAGGAGGCTCCCTCTTGGCCAGGCTCCCTCCTGCTGTGTTTGTCCCATTTGGAATTGGTCAGTCAGGCCTATGTCCACTTATGTCCC